GATTTTTTGAATAATAGAGCATTGTCTTTAGGATGAAAAGCACATTACCCATTGTTTTGTTCGGCAGAGAGGCCTGGTCTTGGGCCTATTGAGGATTCTGTTACTTCAGTCTTTTCTTACCATACCCGTCCCCCATCCCAGCTCAAACGTCTCAGATAATCAAGAACCCTAGAAATAACAGATATTGCCAATTTTTTATTTTCTTGAGTTCCAAAGGAAAAGAACAAGGGAGGAAATGAGAAGTCTAAATTGTTTACATCTCTCATTAGAACCCATTTCATTTGAGTAACTCTACCTTAAAGAAGAGGCCGCACGAGGGGCACCTGGGTGGCTCAGTGGGTTAAAGCCTCTGCCTTCAGCTCAGGTCATGATCTCAGGGTCCTGGGATCGAGCCCCGAGTTGGGCTCTCTGCTCAGCAGGGACCCTGCTTCCCTTCCTCTCTCTCTGCCTGCCTCTCTGCCTACTTGTGATCTCTGTCAAATGAATAAATAAAATCTTAAAAAAAAAAAAAAAGAGGCCGCACGAGAGACTGCAGTCCTTGTAAAGGGTCTACAGTATGGTCTATTTACCAGTATTGTGCGTCTTCTGAGTAACTCCTCACAATCAGAGTTTCACTAGTTAGAAACCTGCCACTGCTCCATGATTAGAACAGCAGGTGCCCCTATTTAAAAACCTCTTATAAACCTTATAAAATCCTTATAAAAGGATAGGTGGAGGTGGGCCCATCCTCGTTTCTCAGGTGAAAGGGGGCCACCACAGTTGTAGGACAGAAGGCAATCACCAGAGAGCAGGGAGAGGAGGGGATGGAGTGTATGTGTGTGCGTGTGCGTGTGCGTGTGCGTGTGTGTGTGTGTGGGAAGTGCAGGCAAGGGGGTCTCATTTATCACCCTTCACTCAGCAGGAGAAGCTCCCTCTTCGTGTCCATCCTCGGACACCCCCCACAAAGGGCCTGCAACCACTTATAGAGGCTGGGCCCGAGCGCAGGGCGCCTTGCACCCCCTCTGTTCCTAGTAACTGCCAGCACCACTGTAGATCACCTCTGCAAAACTGAACCCACGCTTTCCCAGGCTTCAGACCAAAAGCGAACTGGACTTGGAAAAATGAGGTCTGTTTTCATGTTCTCTGCACTTGGATTGTTTAGTTCTCACAGTTACTGAACAGTCTTGTTTGCAAGCGACATGCCACAGCCCCTAAAGGGGAGAGTAAAATCGTCCTGGACCCAGTGTGGTTTAGAATAGCGGCATGCCCCAGGAGGCTGCAGGACAGAGGCCTCAGTGGCTGAAATGAAAGAAGTGTCCAGGGGCAGAGACCTTGGGAATTCAGGATCCACCTCCCAGGCTAAATTTTGAAGCTCTGAGGCTGGTCCTTGGTTATGGGATGACACACCTATTTGGGTTGTTGCGGGAGATGGCATTTGGTGTTCTAGCTTCAAGCAAGGCAAGGACGCGATCTGAAGAGTAGTCTCCAATGTCGGAAAATGATTAAAAAGCAAAAAACAACAACAACAAAAAACCCTCCACTTCAAAAGCAGCTTTCCAAATGGCTATTTCTTATGCACTCAGTGTTCAGGTGTGTCAAGTTCTAGGAGCTCAAGGGGTGGGAGGTTCATCTAAATAACCCGTACCCAGTTCCATGAGGTGAATGTCCAGTGAATATAAACATATTTTCACTCTTACCATCCCAAGCCAGGTATAATCACAGCTAAACATGCCACAAAAATTCAAAAATGCTCTCCGACTATTACTTTAAACTGCACTTCCAAAGGTTTTGCCCTAGCAAAAGGTGAGAATGTGAAGGATTGATTAACCTGGACACATGTCTTGTCTGCTTCACTCACCACGTCAGGCCAGACATTCACTGTAATGACGCCGTCATTGAGAGAGCCCCCCACCTCCAATACTTCCACACCAGCCACTTCCTGCCCCTCGGGGAATTGCATCCTTTAGAATATCCTGACTGATAGCAACTTGACCTCTTCTGAGAATGGACGTGGTCTGGGGAAGCAACCAAGTCTGGTGAGCAGGAAAGCTGAATCCAGCTTGCTGATTACCATCTGAGCTGAAGAACAAGTTATGACTCTATAAGGAATGAGGCTGTTCTGAAAGCCATTCCTAGGGGCCCCTGGGTGGCTCAGTCATTAAGCGTCTGCCTTTTGCTTAGGTCATGATCCCAGGGTCTGGATTGAGCCCTGCATCGAGCTCCCTGCTTGGCCAGAAGCCTGCTTCTCCCTTTCCCACTCCCCCTGCTTGTGTTCCCTCTCTTTCTGAATCCCTGAAAAAAAAAAAAAAAAAAACAAAAAAAAAAAAAAAAAAAAAAAAAGCCATTCCTAAAGGGAAGTGGCAGATGTCTTCAGCCAAGACTTAGTCATCAGAAAACGTGTGCTTCCCAAAACCAGCATAAACCCTGTTAGGGTTTATGTTTTTGAATCTCTTATTACTCGTAGTTGTCAGTCATCCACTACACGTTCTTCTGGATTATACCTATGTTTATTTAGTAGGTTTAACTGTTCCTTAGCAAATTTAAAAGCTTTTCTAATTTTACATAAAATTTGGTTGTCCTATGTTTTTTTCCCCTTACCTGCTCAGAAATAATGGGGGTGCTCTGAAAAGCCAAGGCCACAGTTGCCCGTGGGTTTGGCAACAGCCAGGTGAGAGCAGCAGGCGGCCACCACGAATAGCTCTGAATGGGGGCAGGTTTGCTTATGTGGGTCCCATCCCACAGGTACTGAGTCAGAGGGTGGCCCCAGGCCCACTGCCCCCACTCCTAGCCCACTTTTACAATGAAGTGATTAAGCCATTCTGTCGCCTAAGCAGGTGAAGACAAATGGATAAGGGATAAGTTTTCATCTCCTCTCTAGAAGCTGGTTTGGATCAAACCATAAAGAAGAAGTGGATGAGGGCAAGAACAAGTTAGGGTGATCTTAAGCCAGGTGGGCTGGACAGACCACCGCTCTGCGCTCTGCCTCATGCCCCACCCCCCATCCCCGCTGACCCTGAGGAAAGCTCTAGAAATGGCCCCCTTCATCAGGCAGCGACCGTTGGGCGAAAGGAACTTTAGTTAATGGCTGGCCCGACCCTCTGTTAGGAAACCAAAGCCTAGAGGTTACCGGGCAAAGTGGCAAACTAGTCAGTAGCAGGGCTGGGACGAGGGTTCTTTTCACTAGCCAGCGTCTCATACAGAAGTTCTGGCCAGCTGCCATACATAAGTGAAGAGAGAACATGATTTTGTGCAGTCTGTGGGCAGATCGGCGAAGGGGCCTCTGTGACTCAGGACTACCTCGCAGAGGGCGGCATCGAGCCTCCCAGTAATGACCTCTGAGGGAGGAGAAGGAAAAGAGGAGTACAGATGAATTTATTAGTTAAATACTGATTTTACAGCCATTCCACCTTAAGACAATGTTAACAGGTTTGTGGGTTAGGAAGGTACACGAGGGTGGCCTTCACGGAAGAAAGCGACGTAAATGATGATTAAAACAGAATCTTGGTTTAAAAATATTCTCTGCTACAGCCAGGAGGATTTGGGGGTTGGGAGCTGGGCCTCTGGGGGGAGAATGTAGGAAGGCCACAGTCAGCTATAGCTCTGCTGCTGAGGAGGCCCAGCAAAGAGGAGTCTCTGTGAGCCCCAGCATCACGGGCAGGAACAGCAACAGGAACAGAAGAAGGCCAATTCCAGAAGAGCACAGGGCCAGAGGCTCCCTCGGGGCCCACCCTTGGTGTCTTCTCTGTCATCATCTTTCTATCTGAGTTCGGTTTTGTTGTGTTTGCTTTGATGTTGCAACATCCCAAGCTGTTTGATTCCCGGACAAGAGACTCAGACTTCCTGCTGAGGAAAGGAAGCGGGTGCTGGAGCTCCACACCCCTTGGATGAACTTGGCCTGCTGTCTGACCAAGAGGCACATCTCCACAGAACAAGAGCGGCATTGGCGAAATCCAAGTACAAGAGAGCCAGAATCCACGGAAAGCCCTCGCCCAGCCCAGGGGCCGGCCCCAGCCCCAGGGGGACGGTGTCTACCAGACATGCTCTCCAGAAGGATCTCAAGTCTTAGATGAGTGTTTGTCATACTTGCTTTAGCAGCAGAACCTTTTTGTACTTCCTCGGACCCTGACTGTGGGTGACAGGGTGGAAGAAGGATTTGGGGCACAGCCGAGGGGGAGGCTGCTGTGGCTAGACTGCTGAGCTCCTGTTCCGCAGAGCAAGACACCTGTTCAAGCTGAAGGCAGAGCTGAATCACTCAGCAGTGGAGGGATTTTTATTTTCAGAGGCCTTGGGGGGTGAGGAGAAGGGACTGGAGGTTTGAGCCGAGAGCCAGGGAAAGGAACTTGGGAGAGGCAAAGTTGCCAAGGTGTGATTTGACCAAGGCACACCTTGCAGTGGGTGAAGCGGCCCTCTCCTCCGTGTCCCCATGAAGCATTCAGTGGCATCGGGGCCACACCTGACACTTCCAGGGTCAAGATTCGGTACTGAGGAATGCAGGGGTGTGCCAAGCCTGAAAGGGGAGTGCTGGACAGAGGCAACAGCGGTCTGAAGGGGCTTGTTGCATCCACACACATGTCAAACAGGTGCCCTGGTTCAGGCTGGACCAGAGGTCCCAGCACCTAGCCCCCTCCACCCACCCTCAGAACCCCAGTGCTGGGAACACCATGGAAAAACCACCATCTCAGGCCACGGTGGTGGAGGGTAGGGCAAAAGGATATCAAGTCTCTTACGGGGGAGGGGTGGGGTGGAAAACAAGAGAGAAGTCTCTTAGTCCACAGAATGGGCTTAAATGTGCTCATGGTAAAGGGTGGGTTCTTCCAGGTCAGAGTCTGGGCTCTTCCCAGGAGCCCACCCTTGAAAAGGCATCTGATAAAATCCAACACCCACTTCCCCTAACCAAACTGTCAATTTCAAGTTTCTTCCCAGTTGTTCTTCTGGAGTCATTCCCCAACAGAACGAGCTGGTTCCTGGGGCCCCAGAGCCTCATCTCTGCCATCCTCCAAGTCCCAAGTCTGTGCAGGAGTCTGAGGAGGGAAGGAGGTGACATTATGCAGTGATTATGTCCCCATGACTGTCAGCCAAGGCCAGACTGTTCCAAGGGTCCTGCTTGGAGCTGGGCTGCGGTGACTGGCTGACAGAAGATGCGTAGCCTTGTGGGGAGAGCTTCAGGGCCGAGAGGACCGGGTGGATGGAGGGCCCATGGCTGGACATCGCACTGACTGAGAACGTCTGTAAGCAAAAAGTATAAGATGAGCTCAATGGGATCATTCCTCAGGACTCAGGATGGGGAGGGTCTGGGCTGGGGCGGGGAGCCCCATAACACAGATGTCCCCAGGCTGGCTCCCCTGCCAGCAAAGGGATGAGGGGAGAGGGCCTGAGGACAAAGTCAGAATAAGAAACCAAGCAGCACGTGTCTCGTTTTTCCAAACCCCTGTGCCATGGGATGTGAAGGGTCTGTGTGATTCATTTGCTGCTTCTGAGCACTGGGACCCAGTAGGGGTGTGGATATTGTGGTTTCTCAGAAGGCTCTGATAGTTATATGAGACATTTTCCATGGTTTTGTCACCATCGGATCTCCATGCCCAGAAGGGGCTCCTGGCTCTTCTAGTTCTATGAGACCAGCTTCTTTACCTTGACAGTAAAAAGCTTTTTAGGATATAGCCTCCCTCAAGTGCACGTAGAGAACAGATCAGGACTAAGAGGAAAGAGTAACCAAGTGTGGGACTATCCTCATCCCAAACAGGGGAACCAAAGAGGGAAGGGGTTGGGGAGTAGGAATGCCATCATATTCGAAAGAGGGAAATGACAGTATTGCTGACCCATCTTCAGGACACACATTTGAGGCCAGAGCTGTAGCTGACCCTCATTAAATGGCACCTTGCCCATGACCTCCACACCAACCCTCCGTGGCCCCCCCCCCCCCCCCCTTTAGTTTCCCCCTCATTTCCCCTGCCCGGAGGGGCATCTTCCTTCCCCTCCCCCTGTTAAAATCTATCCATCCTGGGGCCCCTGGGTGGCTCAGTCGTTAAGCGTCTGCCTTCCACTCAGGTCATGATCCCAGAGTCCTGGGATTGAGTCCCACCATTGGCATTGGGATTCCTGCTCAGTGGGGAGTCTGCTTCTCCCTCTGCCCCTCCCCCAGACTTGTGCTCTCTCTTGCGCTTGTTCTCTCTCTCTCAAATAAATAAATAAATAAAATCTTAAAAAGACATCTATCCATCCTTCAAGGTGAAGGCCAAACCCCCTCTCACTTAGGAGACAGGCTTGCCCAGAAAGCCCATGTGCCACCTTGTACAGCCCACTACAGTCATACGGCCATCCCTCAAGGTACACAGCCTGACTCAGGTTGTGTGCTGTGTCCCAATGTGTCCCTTCGCATTTCCTGTGTCCAAAGGTCCCAGCATGGAGGAGCTACTCAACATTTGTGTGTCACAGCTGTGTGCCCAAATCATCCTAACTTGACCAGATGTGTTAAAATAGACCCTCATGCAGACAACCCCTAGCCTCAGTGGGGCCCCAAGGCCACCAAGCAGCTCCTGCTGCCACCTGCTGGGGCCCAGCTACAGCTCCCGTGTTCCAGTGCTGACCCAGCCACCTGGTCCTTGGCGGTGTACCACTGTCCCACCAGCGGTCCTATTCCCCCACCTGGGGAAGGGGATACCTGGGACATGGAGCTGCTGTGCCCGTAGTGGGACGACAGCCCGGGCTCTGTCTTGATGGGACGCATCTCTTCGCTGCTGCTGGTGGCTGCGTTGCTGGAGTTGCTGGAGGCACTGCTGGCGGGAGGAAGGCTCTCACCACCCGAGGGACCTAGAATAAGGCAGAGTCAGGACACCCAGACCAGGGGCAGGGGCAAACGGGAGGCAGTCCTGGGAGACAGCTAGGGTAGGTCCATGCTAACGGCGTTATTTATAGTTGCCAGGGAGGGAGGCAGGGTCCTTCATGAGTGCTGGGCAGCGGCTCAAAATGGGACCCATGAAAATACCGGAATTTCAAGGGAACTTTCTCAAGGGACGGGCTCCCCACCTTGGATTCCAAACCCTTAAGACCACATGTGTCTCTGGATTCGAAAGTGTCTGGATTTTAATACTGTATGTTATAGAATACTTCCAGTGGTGCCGGAGGCAACACCCCTTAATGAAATACATTCATGGTTCTGCAGCAAAAGATGTGAATCTCCACACATGAGATAAATAAAGGCTATAAACAGTGGAATCTGTTCACATGAGGTTTTGCTGCCTAACCTGGCTCCCTGGATCTGGAATTTCGGAGATGGGGCTGTTCCCCTGAACTAAATGCTTGCTCTTCCTGTCCCTGCGGCATATAAGGTGATGATGTTCCCCAGGACATGGTGCTGTACTTCTACAACAGTGCGGACACAGACAGAGAGGCAGAGGGCCACTGGGGTGAGACATGGAAAATTCTAGCGAGAATTACTGCCCGAAGGGGTAAGCACTGTGGAATTTGGGAAAGGAGAACTTTGGCTATGGTCTCAGCAGTGGAAAGGGGAAATCTATCTGTTTGTCACGCCTTAGATTAAAAGATAAATTTCCCATCGGATCAGCTGATTTATTTTCTGTGCAACGGCAGTATTTCCCATGAAATTTTTGATTGGCTAGCGGTGTTGAGGAGGGAGCACTCTTGATAGGAACATGAGTCGTCCTCACTCTTCACCTAGAAACTGAGATGGTAAAGTGGCACCTGGGATGGAATACAGACCCGGAAGTGTAAAAACTTGGGGTTTAATTCCAGGTCTACCCACTCACGGCTGTGTGACTCTAGCTAAGTTACTAACCTCTCTGCGCCTCAGTTTGCTCAGGAGTAAAATGGGGATAATGAGTCATTTGAGGAGCTTTAAGGACCAATGAACTACTAATGGTAAAACAGTTTTCTAAAATGCTAGGTACTACATGATGTTAACTGTGCATTGGCTTACAAATCAAGGCTTACTAATGGGGTCCTGTCTTCCTAGATCCTAGTTATCTCAAGGAGAACATAAAGGAACTGAGCTCTTAAATGGCCAGCTGCAGCACAGAAGATGGAGGGAAAAGTAGTGTTCTTTTCTGTTTCTGGCCCCCAACCGGTCCAGCTGGACCACTAGTGCCTTTGCAACTGGCAGTCATCACGCGTCTTGAATTGAGCCTGCTTTAAAAGCTCCCCAGATAGTGCATGGTGATGCTACTTCTCCCTGGGTTATCATTCTGTCCTGAATAGTGGGGGCTGCACAATGCTCTCATGACTCACTAGCCTGGGCTGGCCCACCCAGCCAAGAAAACCTGGTATTCACATACTCCAAGGGCCACGGAGTTATACAATTACACACAATTCTTTTCCTCACCTGCCGGTGTCTTAGATTTATTAAGGTTCTTGGGCTTCCGTTTTCTGGTCTGAATCCCCTCTTTCCGCATTGCAAGAGGCCTTGGGACCTAGAGGGTTACAAGTCAATATATATGGTTTTCCACTTATACATGATCTGCTACAGTATTTAAACATGCACACACACTATGAGAAGGCAACATCTAAGCAATTCCTCTACAAACCTTGGGGCTGGGACTGGGTGAGTCAGCCCCTGGCACACCTGGAGAAAGAAATCAAATATGTATTGAGATCCTATACTACATGCTGTGTTACACTCATCCTAGAGAAATAGAGGCATAAAGACACCATTCCTTCCCTCCAGAGTCTCAGTTGACTGGGAAAGACAGACAAGCAGGAAACAACCAAACTCATAGGTGGTGTGGGAGGATGGAGAAGAAACACTAAACTGTGTTCCCAGCTGGGGAGGAGGGGAAGTGGTACATGACCATATTAATGAAGGCTTCACTCAGGAGGTGATGCCTAAGTTGTGGGAGGTCGGCAAGTAGAAAAGGGGCAGGCATTTCAGGTAGGGGGAACAGTTTTTGCAAAAAACCTTTAGTTTATCAGCAAAATCAGGACACGATGAAAAGGACAAGGGGGTGCTATTAATAATTATGCCAAGAAAATAGGCAGACACTGGGCCAGCCCCCGTGAATTGAGAGCTCAAGTCACTCTACTTAGAGCAGTTCAGCACTGCATTAAGTCTGGTTGGAGCCAAATGTGGTCTTTCCATGGGGGGTGGGGAGCAACAAGAGATCATGTTGAGGAGACTGCCCTCTGGCCAGGTCCTGAGATAAACTGTCTATGGACAACACTGTTATTGCACTGACTTCTCATAATCAAGCTGTGACTGTCAAGTGTCATGCTCTTGAACCACGCACAGGTGCCTAGACAACGGTCTGAAGAAGAGGCTTGTTAGATCAATCTTTCAAGTATTTTTAAATAGCATGCCTTCCCCACATTTGGTTTCTTAGGCCAGGTCTACCAAATCTTTTAACTCCTGGTCTGTGCTTGTCTCCTGGATGGGACTCATAAAGGCTATGCCTGAAATACTGAAAGAAAAGTAATTACCCACTTCAGAGATTAAACATGGAATGGTTAAGGGGTGCCTGGGTGGCTCAGTGGGTTAAAGCCTCTGCCTTCAGCTCAGGTCATGATCCCAGGGTCCTGGGATGGAGCCTCACATCAGGCTCTCTGCTCAGCGGGGAGTCTGATTCCTCCTCTCTCTCTCTGCCTGCCTCTCTGCCTACTTGTGATCTCTGTCAAATAAATAAATAAAATCTTAAAAAAAAAAAAAACAAACACACACACACACACAAAAACATGGAATGGTTAAGAGAAATGCAGCCAGTTAGGTGAACCTGAACCTGCCTTCTGGTCAACTGAGAGCTGGATCCAACAGTATTCCCACCTTTGGAGGAAAGTGTCCTCTCCTCTCTCTAGCCCCCCCACCCTGACTTTGGCCCACTTGAAGCCCATCCTGACCTCAGAAGAATATAGCCCTCATGTTTATCCCCACCAACCTCAATACGTTAAAAAAAAAATTGTGTAAAATACACATAACATAAAATCTATCATCTTTATGGACATTGGGGAGGGTATGTGCTATGGTGAGTGCTGTGAAGTGTGTAAACCTGGCAATTCACAGATCTGTACCCCTGGGGATAAAAATATATTATATGTTTATAAAAAATAAAATTTAATAAAAAAAAAAGATAAAAAAAAATCTATCATCTCAACCCTTTCTAGTAGTATTAAGGATATTCACAATGTCATGCAACCATCACCACCATCTGTCTCCAGATCACTTCTCATCTTAAAAACTGAAAGTCTGTCCTCATTAAACACAAACTTGCTATTTCCCCGTCTGCCAGCCCCTGGCAGCCCCTATTCTACTTCCTGTCTCTATGAGTGTGATTATTCTGGGTACCTCGTATAAGTAGAATCACATGAAACTTGTCCGTTTGTGACTGACTTCTTTCACTTAGCATGATGACTTCAAGGTTCATCCACCTGGTTCTGTGTGTCCGGACATATGTCCTTTTAAAGGCTGACTGGTAAATCCATTGCATGGACAGACCACATTGTGCTTACCCAACCGTGGACACTTGGGTTGCTTTCACCTTTGACTATTGTGAATAATGCTACTGTGGACATGAGGACACGCATAGCTGTTCAAGGCTCTGCTTTCCATTCTTTTTGGATCTATACCCAGAAGTAGGATTGCAGGATCATATGCTAATTCTATTTTTTAATTTTTTAAGGACAAAATCTTTTTAATACCTGCATAATATTCCTTTCCCCATTTCTTCTACCATTCCCCTATTGAAGAACATGAGTTTCTTCAACCATTTCCCTACTGAGGGTTTTTTTTCCTCCATTCTCTCTATCACAGTGACTCAACAAACATCCTTGATAAACTTTTCTGCAGAAAGAAGTATATTTTCTTATGACTGGTCTTAACTATATTTTGGCTATTTTTTTTTCTTTCTCACTAACAAGAAAACGTGGTACACATCTCATGATGAGCACTGAATAACATACAGAATTGTTGGATCACTGGGGCGTCTGGGTGGCGCAGTGGGATAAGTGTCTGACTCTTGGTTTTGGCTCAAGTCATGACCTCAGGGTTGTGAGATGGAGCCCTGTGTTGGCGCAGGATCCCTGCTCAGCACAGGGTCTGCTTAATACTCTCTCTCCCTTTCCCTCTACCCCTCCCCTCCCTCAAATAAACTAAAAACAAAACAAAACAAAACAAAAAACCTGTTGAATCACTATATTGCACACCTGAAACTAAAATAATACCATATGTTAACTACACTGGAATTAAAACTAAAAAACTAATTTAAAAAAAGAAAGAAAACATGAAAAGATTCATGAAGGCTAAGGTAGTAATGCCCCCTCCATCCCTCCGTTATCAATCCTGTCCTATGGGGCAACTGGAGGACCGGCCTCTCATGTTTCTTACACTTGAAAACATCTGCCAACATGTACGCACACATACAGATCTACACATGTATGTATGTGTGTGCTCATTCATCCATCCATCTGTATCTGTCTGTGTTTAACACACCCACACCCCCATAGTATGGGGGCATAGTATGTATATTACTTCGCAATGTGCTTTTTTGTTACTCCAAGTCAAGATACATGGCCCTAATTTGGTATTTCTTTAAATTTCTGCACAATATTCCCCATCATAGTATTGCCACAATTTAATCAACCATTCCTTTATGAGGATTTAGGATGGTTTCTAGTTTTTGCCAGTACAAATACTGCAGCAATAAACAGTTCAAACATCATTACATACTGATTCTTTTATTGTTTTACAGGCCAGTTTCCCAAAAGCAGAGCTGCTGGTCAAAAGATACGTATGTTTTTTATCCTTAATAAGTACTGCCAGGGACACCTGGGTGGCTCAGTTCATGGGCATCAGACTCCTGATTTCTGCTCAGGTCATGATCTCGGGGTCCTGGGATCAAGTGCCACATTGGGCTCCTTGCTCAGCAGGGGAGTCTGCTTCTCCCTCTCCCTCTGTCTGCCACTCCCCCTGCTTGAGTGTTCTCTCTGTGTGTGTGTGTGTGTGTGTGTGTGTGTGTGTGTGTCAAATAAACAAAATCTTAAAAAAAAAAAAAAAAGGTACTGCGAGGGAAATTTCCCCAGGAACACTTGCAGTAAAAGTCACATGCCAATCAATACCCTAAGAGAGCATTTCCCCCCCACAAAATCTACACCAGCCTTTGACCACACCGGCTCCAGAGCTCAGACTCCCAGCTTCTAGGAATGTGGGAATAAATGTCTGTTGTATACAAGCCACTGGGTCTGCAGTGCTTTATGGCAGCCCACACGGTCCAAGACAGCCTGTAAGTTTCCTTCCAAATCTCAGTGTCTTGGCAGAGAGGGCAACGATGACGTCAAGTCTGCAAGTGGGAGGACCAGTGACAGCTAGGGGATGGGAACACCAGTGAGGCTGGGGGGCGGGGGTGGGGTGGGCTACTCACGCCATGGAGCTTCATGTAGAGGCCGCAGGCATTGCACACCGGCTCACCCTCGGCGTTGCGGCGCCACAGCGTGGTGGTGGTGGTCTGGCAGTTGGCACAGGACAGGCCCACCCGGCGGGAAGCCGACTGCAACAGAAAAGCAGACCCTTCATGTCCAAGCGGAAGGCACACTGCTGCTTTTAGGTCAGGGGGAGTTCCGAGGGGCTGTCCTGCCCTGAGGGGGTGGCGAGGTCATCTGGGAGAGCCCTGAAGGAGAACCTCTGAGCAGCTGAAGGGCCAGATTCTCCCCTCATGTTAGCCCCTTCTGGCTGGGAGGGGGGGAGAACAGGGACTTCAGCGGCAGGAGGACAGTGAATTCTAACCCTCACTGGCATTATGGCATATCAGTCATTCCTCAGACAGGGCCCTGGGGGCAGAAAAGCTTTCCTCAAAAGTAGAATAAATGTGAGGAAGAATTACTGCATTCAAGTGTCATCAGGGGCTGGACGGGCCTCGGGACCCCAAGAAAGTTAACCGTCAGGGCTTAACCCCTCTGTTCCTCCCTCCCTAATACACAGAAAGCCTAGCTTGTGTTGGCCCAAATCGAATTATACTAGAAAAGACCACAGAGCCAAGAACCAAAAACCCCATTACAAACCTTCCCAGCCATAGGGCCCAGCATAGCCTGCTTAATCTCCCCCTGGGCTTTGGGTTTTATTAACTCATCAGCTGAAAACAAGGTAAGGAAGAGTTCCCCTTCCTCGTGGGGTTGATGTGAAAACAGGAGATGTCCAAGGCAAGGCTGGACTGGGAACCAGGAAGCCGGGACTCTGGTTCCAGATTGGAGACTCGGTATCCCTGTGACCGTGGGCGAGGCTGTTGGCTGTGCTGAGCCTCATTTTTCACTTCTGCATAGCGAAGGGCTTAAACTAGACGGTCTGGAACATCCTTGCTGCTGGAGCTAACTCTAAAGGTATCAGAAATTACTGCGTTGCCACCCACCCACACCTACTTTTTTAAAGATGACTTGAAGGGCGCCGGGGGGGGCTCAGTCTGTTAAGTTTCTGCCTATGGCTCAGGTCATGATCCCAGAGTCCCAAGATCGAGCCCCGCCTTGTGGGGGCTCCCTGATCAGCGGGGTGTCTGCTCCTCCCTCTCCCTCTGCCCCTCCCCCGGCTTGTGTTCAATCTCTCTCAAATAAATAAAAAAATCTTTTGTAAAAACTTAAAACAAATTTTTTTAAATGACCTGAAGTCCAAAATTCAGACCCTGGGAATTTCCCACCAAGCGTGAGCCCCGACGCCAGGTGCTGAGAGAGGGAATGACGGGCGGACTTGAGCAGTCAGGGTCCGTGCTTACCAGCCGGCGCTGGGGCTTGATCAGGGGCCGGTTGATGCCGTTCATCTTGTGGTAGAGGCCGCAGGCATTGCAGAGGTAATGCCCCGTCCCGTCGCGCCTCCAGAGCGGGGTGGACATGGCCCCACAGTTGACACACTCCCTGCCTTCCGAGAAGTCATCAAACATATCTACTGGGTGGAAAAGAAGATGGAGGATTAATTCTTCCTGTTTGTGCTCAGAAACCTTAATATCAGAGAATCCAGAGGCCGAGGACATGATGCCCTCTCCTTGCAAGGAGTACAAGGTGGATCAGCTCGGGGGGCCTCCCTTATCCGGGCTCGGACCTCAAGCACTGGGCATCACAGGCAGTCGCAGCAAGGCTCTCCCTGGTCACAAGGAAAGGAAGACTAGGCCAGCAACCACCAGCAGCCTGCATTTTTGTCCCTCTCTCTCCTTCAGAGCCCCTGGCCCTGAGGTTCTCTGAATTCCACCCAGACCTTTCTCCTCTCTTTTTTCCCTTCAAAATTGAGATTCCTTTTTGCTTTCAATAAAAATATGAAAACAAACAAAAGATTTGCTCAGAAAATTTAGAAAATAAAATGTGTAAAGAAAATACAAATGGGGGCGCCTGGGTGGCTCAGGCATTAAGCATCTGCCTTGGGCTCAGGTCATGATCCCAGGGTCCTGGGATGGAGCCCCACATCAGGCTCTCTGCTCAGCGGGAAGGCTGCTTCTCCCTCTCCCATTCCCCCTGCTTGTGTTCCCTCTCTTGCTGTGTTTCTCTCTGTCAAATAAAAAAAAAAAGAAAATATAAATGATATGTAATCCTCTGATTCCAAGATCACCAGTGTTATTAACCTTTTGTTCTATTCTAACCTTTGCAATACTTCATGTCTTGACACATACTTTGCCTAGTCGAGGTCAAGCTACATAATTTTGAACCTATTTTTTTCACATGATACCAAGGCATTTTTCCCAAATTAGAAATTTTTCATCAACTCATTTTAGCATAGTACGGAATCCCATCATATCAATGTGCCATCCTTCATTATCATTAAACTTTTATTTAATCTCTACCCAGTTTCTGCTCATTTTGTGCACAATTCTTAGCATTTCTGCCTATTCCTTAGGATACTCCCCTAGGAGTATAATTACTCCTAGGGGAGTATCCTAAGGAATTAACCAAAGGGACCACATTTTTGGAAAGTTTTCAAAATTTTCAAACTGCCCTGCAAAAAGGGCTGTGATTCATTTTCGCTCATTTTTGTCATTTCAGTGTATCTGTATGATATGCTGTATCAGAGTTTGACAGTTTTTCCTGCTTATTGGTCCATAAAACACAGGTCCATATTGCAAGCAACAGTGACTTACGGTCACTCACTTTCCTGGGCACACTGCCACCACTCTGTCTCCTACACTCACTCACCCCCCACCTCTATTGTCCAGGTCTATAGAATTTTACAATTGACAAATTTCACTCATGCCCATTGCAGTTGCCCTGCTGAGATTGGCTGGGCCAGGTTTCTTATTCCGTATGATCTGTATAAAGCCTGGCTCAGAACTTCCAGAAATCTCCCTGACTCCATATACACCGCTTCCTATTTTGAAGAATATTTTATATTCCACCCATATTTTCTGTCCCTAAACGTAGCTACCCTGGAATTTGGACCGTTCTTGTCCTACCACCAGAGGCAAGAGTGGATTCCTCTCTCATAACAGGGCGGGGGATACTTGGAGAGGAGGGGTTTTAAGAGCTCTCCCTCCACCCGGACCTAGCACTGGATTTTAAGGTCACACATTCTGCTAGTACTGTGGCCCAGTTACTTGCTGTAAGGGAACGTGGGCTGAAGAAGAGGATGGTGGGGGGCCCTCCCTCAACTCTGGGTACACAAACAGTCATTTGCACCTGCAAACAAGTAGCTGTGTGTCCACAGCTAGTCAACAATGTGCAGGTGTGAGGGGCTATTTGCTCAGGCCAGGGAGCTAAGCACACACCGGTCACAAGAGAGGCTATTTTTGCAGCTGGGTCACACTGAGAACCCTCCAGCAAGGTCACCTGCTTTCAGAGCCACATACAAAACGACAACTCCCGTCCTAGTTTGCTTCTCTGAGCCAGGGTGAGGCAAGGAATGAGCCCGCACACCACCCTGGCCACCATCATAGCCACCTCCACCTCCAAACCCGCAAGTGCTGCCCTTGCCAGTCAACCCTGTTCACCGGGAGTTCACAGAAGGACCTTGGAGCAAGGAGAGGCGCTTGCAAGTCGTCCTTTGGGCGGGTGTCTGCAATTAACACTAGATGGCACTCCAGCATCAAAATTGAACCAATATATGGTCTTCTGGCCTAAATTGTGCTTGGGGATGAAGGACTGTTTCAGATCATTTTCCCAGACCAAAGCTAGTTCAACCCTCCTGTTCCGTTGGGTCTTTTGTTTGTTTGTTTGTTTTTGTTTCTGTTTTTTTAATTATGGAAAGGTTTAAACACACTCAAAAGTGGACAGGATGAACTCTTATTTAATCATCATCCAGTCTCCAACAGTTTGTGGCCAGTCTTTTCCCATGGATCTCTCCACCCTCTTTCCTCCGTCCTGAATAACTGAAGGAAATCCCAGACACTCTACCACTTCATTCATAAATATTCCAGTATGTAGGTCTCACAGATAAAGAATCACACTCTCCTCCTTTTAAAGATAGCAAACCAGGGGTCGTTGGGTGGCTCAGCCGGTCACGCATCTGCCTCTCCGGTTCCTGGAATCAAGTCCCGCATAGGGCTCCCTGCTCAGTGGGGAGTCTGCTTCTCCCTCTGCCCCTCCTCCCTGCTCATGCTCTCTCTTAAGTCTCAAATAAATTAATAAAACCTTTTAGAAAATACCTTTTAAAAAAAAATAGACAAACCGGCTTCTTTCCCATGCTCTGGTTTATCTCAAGAAGGCCCTAGAGACAAAAACCTCATAATCTGGTCCTCTTTTGGAGGGGAGATCTCCTCTTCTCTTCACACTTCTGGTGTTATATGCAGGGGCAGAATCTATTCGCAGAAGCCATCCTGGCAATTACAGGTTTCTCTGCTACTTACTGGCCTTATTGAAACCGCGACACAAAGGTTTGCCTTAGAAACTCCTTCACACTTGCCTCACAGAATAGGTTACATTCAAGGCAATTATTTTACTGGCCAGGAAAAGGCCCTGGAGGTTGGCAAATATGTATTTGTCACTAACAAATATTTACTGAGCATCTGCTATTTAAGCACTCTGATAGATGTCCCAAAAGCTAAGAGGGAACCTTATTCTCAGAAGGCTAATAACCGAGTTGGGCAAATTGGGCCAAAATACCAATAATGAGTTAATAATAATGCTCAACTCATTTTCAGAACCCACCTTAACCAAACTGGGATTTGTATAGCAGATATTTCTTGTCTAGGGTGGGAAGTGCAGAAGTCAGACCCCTATTAAAGGATCTGGTGTTAATGACAGTAGCCAAAGGAAAAAACGGGATAGGAGGTCAAGGCCATGGTTCCTCAAGGCACCCTGTCAGATGTACCCAGTCTCTCTACCGTCAAGTACCCCTCCAAATCTACAGAAGTTTCCATGTTTTCTATCAGAAGGGCTTGCCATCCAACCTACTCAACAACATGTTACACAAGTTTAAATGATTATTACAAAGACACGGTAACAATCGAGGAAAATGTTTAGCCCTCACCTTAAATGAAAAGGGCAACACATAAACTGCTAGGCCCACCCTGATGGCAGCTAAGGCCCCCAGGGAGGAGGGACTTTTTGGTAGACTAGCTATTATAAAGTGGACTTTTCTTTCTTAAAAATGCCATTCTGGAATGCCATAGTTGCCTCTTTTTAAAAAAAAAAAAATCTGATAAAAAATTAAAACAAAAACAGAAAGACTTTTGATCACCTTAAGCAGCTCCCAGTCCGCTATGGGGGGGACTATTTTCCTCTTTTGCATCACACACATACACCCCTACCCTGGACAGAAGAAAGGGGAGAGCGAAGTACAAACCCTGCTGCTTAGCAGCCAGGCTGCCAGAAATGGGAGGTGATAGGCAGTGAGCCCCAGCGGCAGGAACATCCCCCGGTGTGAACCCTGGTAACCATCATCTTTACGCTTTCATTAGAAACATGCTGGGTGGAACTTCCCAAAGGGCATGTGGGCAGGGGCCCCGAAACCAGTTTCTCTGGCTGATTTCTAAGGGTGCAGCTGTGACCTTCACTTATGAAAGCCCTACCTCTCCAGTGCTGGGCATCATAGGAATGGGTCCAACCACTTAGAAGGCAGTGGGAATCCAACTCTCTCGGAAATGGGTCAGCATTACCCCACCTCCGAGGAAAGACTTGTAATAATAGTTGTAAAGTACTTTGCAAATAAGAGGAAAAACTCGCAACAATGGCTGTAAAGTGCTTTGTAAACACCAAATGAGATAACAGTGATGGATTATTGTTAGGTTTGGAGGGGTGGAGAGGGAGTTGGAAGACCCAGGACAAATCTTGGTGCTGGGTTTTTGCAGGGGGAGGGGATAGATAAAAGAGCTAGGAGATTTGGGAATCTGACCTTTCCGCAAAGCAAAGCACAGGGGTGGGGGCCATGCGGGCTCAGAATTGTAAATTGTGTACCACTCTCAGACCTGGCCAACTTGGAGACTTGCAGGCAGAGAAGGAATGGCAGCACACGGCTGATGGTGTAGCCCTGTGAGGCCACAAGGCTGCTGCTCATGGGAAATTGTAATGCATGACATTTAGCGATCAGACACACAAACTGAACTGGGCCCTAACCCCGAGAATGGGGATCAAACGCCTCACCTCCATCCATGACCCACTTAGGAAAACACTGTTTTTAAAGAGGGAAACAAACACAGCCTGATTTCTGAGGCATCCGATTTCGTAGGGACGTTCCTAAGAATTATGGCAGATTACTTCTACCCAAGTGTCTGAAAAGAAAAATGTGGGCCAGGAGGTGGAAGGATCCCACCCCTGACTTCCCCACAGAGAAGTGACGCAATCAAAGGCAAGACTCCGACCTCTCCCCTGACCTGCTCCATCCATCTTGGGGAACCCACCCATAGGCAGGGCTAACAAGCAAGTCAAGGCAGGGGAAGAAGGAGTTCAGCTGCCTCCATTTTGACCTCAAACTTTTCAGGTGGGTTCTTCTCTCCAGCCTGTCTCTGGGCTCAGACGGAAGAC